CCATGACTTCCCCCGTGTCTCTGCCCCAAAATGCTTACATGTCTAAGTTACGATGAGAACAACAGAAAACTATTTAAATGGCTTCAAAATAGTAATATTAGCTGAAGTAAATAACCAGACTTGGTTTAAAGAAAAAACAACATCCCTATCCTTCATATTCTCTCACCATTTTTTTCTTCCTTCTTTCACTGGTGCTCTGTGCATAATCTTGGGCAGCTTCCAAGCAGTGGGTCTGTCATGACAGGGAGCAGCAGTGCAGAAGATGCACACAGTTCAGAGCTTGGAGGAAAGGGGTACTGCTTTTGATGGCTGGAGTCACCCTTAGCTGTGAAGTATCAGAGGGGTAGCCGTGTTAGTCTGAATCTGTAAAAAGCAACAGAGGGTCCTATGGCACCTTTAAGACTAACAGAAGTATTGGGAGCATAAGCTTTCGTGGGTAAGAATCTCACTTCTTGCATCTGAAGAAGTGAGGTTCTTACCCACGAAAGCTTATGCTCCCAATACTTCTGTTAGTCTTAAAGGTGCCCCAGGACCCTCTGTTCCTTAGCTGTGAGTCAAGGAGGAGATCTAGGACTCCAGCAAGTGATGAGACAGTGGATTAGAGTTCTCAGTGGCTGTGTTAGATCCAAGCTCAAGGATTTGAGATTTTCCATGTTAGCTGCCATCATCTATTTACTTCTCCCTCTTCCCTGCACCTGTAGCACTATCTACCACTCTCAGGCCTTTTCGCCCTCTTCAGGGTAAGCAATCCTGTGAGTGAGATAGGTAGTAAGACCAGGAGAGTGAGTGGGATGGTTACCGCATTCAGGACCCTGAAGGAAGCTCCAGTCTCAGGGGCAGCTCCTGCTGTGCACCTGGATTGCAAGCCTGTGCTTCCTGCAGGTGCTGTCTTTCCATTTTCTTTCCAATTTCCACTCCTGGTCTCATTCCCAGGACTGATCATGTTGCAGACTCTCCGGATGAATTAGGCTGAATATGTGCATTGTTGCAGTGTGTCGTGACAGAACTCCTGGCAGGAATCTGCCAGCAGTCCTGGGTAACATCAGCTGTGTCTTCTCCCTAAAGTAGGAAGTAAAAACAATCAGAAAAATACGATCTAATTTCAAAAATTAAGGAGATTTCTTTTTAAAATGCACTGATTGGGTCTCCTACTGCTTGTATTAAAAAAGGGCTCCAAAAATCTACTTTAGGTTGTCAATAATAAATATGACACAGAAACAGTACCAGTACATCTCAGCTGATAATCACTAACACAATAGAATGTATTGCATGGTTAGTTACTATGGAAGAGCACTCAAGGGTACTTGTTAATATGCTAAATATCTAGTTTTAATTCTAATTAATTTAAGCTGACAGAACTCAAAAGAGCTGATGAGCATTTGAATAAGAAAGAGCCTGCATGAGCCAACTAGGGCTTGACGTAGCTCGAGAGAGAGAGCACGCAATCAGATCAAAGCAGAAGTGTCACATTTTATAACAGTTTCTGGGGCTCTGACATTGAAATGACACTGATGTCATTAGTAGAACAAGTCCTATCACAGTGCTATGTCGGTCATAAATTAAAACTAAGAACAATTTCTGCTCAAAACAATGAATGAGTGATTGGTCTTTGTGATGGGGTCTACAGGCCGCACAGTGAACCAGGGCTGGGAGTAGAGCAATACTGGGCCAGGGTGGCCCCACCCCTCAACAGGTTCAGGGCATGCTCCCAGTGGAGGGACAGTTTTTAAAAGGACCCTGGTTGGCCCAGGAAGGGGAAGGTGCGATTTGCTGCACCAGGAAGCAAGGCTGATGCTGAGAGCTATGTCAGAAGTGGCAACAGCTTTGTGAAGGTCGCTCTAGAATTTGGATTCTCCACTCTTTGGGAGCTAAAAGCACTAAAAGAGATTAATTGATTGAATAGGATGCTGAAAGACCAAGGGTTGTTCTCCTAAGCCAGCAACCGTCCCACCCCAAACTGAGGAGCTCCAGACTGGTAGGAAGTGACCTAGGGGAAAACATAATTTGGGGTAGCTCAATAACTGGGCCAGATGTTTTGATAAACCCTTAGGGCCTTGGGTCAGGACCCAATAGAATGGGTAGGCTTGGGTCCACTTCTGGGGGAGCAATCTGAGCATGCGGAGTGAGGGGTTAAGGCTGCAGCCGGGGCGCCCTCTGGGATGACGAGGCTGGCAGAAACTGTACGACCACGCCCTGACCTCTGGTCATTGGACCTTCCTTCTACAGTCTTGAAAATGGATAAAGTGAATTGGCAGGGGATGGGTAAGAGCTTGTCCTGGGAGATGGGCGCTGCTGGATCCAGATTGAAGAGTTTCAATAATGAAAGTCTGCGACTGATCAAAGAAGAATCAGATCAGGACAGGTGAGGAGCACTATCACAAAGTCTAAACCAATCCCTTTCCTTAGTTAGTGTATTCATACCAAGCTCAAAGTCGTTTTTAGTTTAAAATGATGTATTCACTGGCATGGTACTGAGTAGTTTGTGTAAATGAGCAAAGGTAACAGCAAAAGGAGGAATGCAGGGTTGTGGTTCCTACTTAACATGGCCGTGCTTTGCTGGGTGCTTTTTTCTTCTTGAGTTAATCAGCATTTCTATAAATAAAATATACCCCATGGGTGAGTCAAGATCTCTAGGTGTTGGGTTACCTGCATATCGTATTCCCTCTTCTTTCTTTCCAACCTTTGCTAGTGCCTCAGAAAAATGGATGCAATATCCACACATTCCCCATCTTGCATTTAAACTTTCTTAAAGGTGGGCAAGTGAAAAAGTGTATCAAAAGGTCTGGGATTAGGGAAGCAAAAGATGGATATCCTTCTTGCAACTCCCATCAAAACCTTAAAATATGTCAAGTTTCTAACAGTTCTACTTGTGCCACCTTTTCTGTTGTGCGTGCACGCACAAAAACACACAGAGATCTTTTCAGGTAGTTTCTTCCCAAACTTCTGCTATTCATAAAAGCTATATTAGATACATATACATCTGAGTTTGTGTGGTGGTTTTGTTCTGAGTGAGGTTTTTAAGTTATTTCAGCTATAAGATGCCTTTGGCTGTTTTGCCTGGTTTTATAAAGTGCTTTTTCTTTTCTTTAAGTTGCCAGTGACCTTTGAGCATTGGTGTATTCATTATGACAAAAACACGGAGGACAGTAGCTGTGTATTCATTTTGATTTCTTTTGAAGACCAATGTTAGCCTGGCCATCCTTTCTCTGAGTTGCAAAACAGAATCTGAATTCCATAGGTAAAATCCTGGCCTGAGGGGAATCAGTTTTTGAGTTTGATTGCATTTGTCATGAGCTGTTCGCTCTTAGACTAGCTAGTTCCTCCGCATAGGCAACATATACTCCACTAATCAAGTGTTCCCCAAACTCTTGAAAGCTGAGCCCCCACTTCAGGAAAATGAAATTGATCACACCCTCTCTGTAACATCACTATATGTTAAAGGCCTATGTATCTTAATGTGTACATCATCCGTCACGGGATGGGCTATGCACATTTCACATTTGGAAGGCTTTTTTAGCAACTATAATATCTACAGCAGTGGTGCCAAACTCATTTCATGTGGTAGGTCTGCCACTTGGCATTGGACACATTCAGCAAAAATAATTGAAATAGTAATAAAAATAAACCATGTTGGTAAGTACTTACATTCACCCTTTGACTTGTTGATATTTCCTTTTCTTCAACTTGCCAGGTTGGGGTATCTGCTCTCCAGCATTTTTCAGTGCCATTTTCCCTCGCCTGGACAAGTCTTTTTCTGTCCGACTTATGCCTCTCTAGTGCCTCTTAAACACGACCAAGTGGTTCTATACCTGCACGTGAGGCTTGGCTTGATTGCTGTGCCAGAGTCTGAGATTAATGCATGCAGCAATTTACATGCATTTCATAAAGTCTAACACTAAACGCTTTGTTATAAGTCCAATACCTATCTTAACCCTACCAACGCACAGGTGAAACAGACTGGTTTCCAGCAATGAATTTGTCAGTGCTTGGCCAAAGCCTAAAGCCTTGGAAAGAGCTGGCACTTGGTGGACAATGTGGACTCTGGATTGTGCAGACAAGCCCAAAGATTCATGGGAAGTCCTTGGGCTGGATGAAATTGTTCTGTGGGCAGGATCCTGCCAGAAGGCTATACATTTGACACCCCTAGCTAAAGCTGTGCTTTTGGGGGGGGCGGGAAACCTGAGACAATGGTATGGTGTGTCAGCACCTCCTGCCTTCCCACCTAGTCTTTTGTCCACAGCGGCATGCACAGGGCTGGCTCTAGGATTTTTGCCACCCCAAGCAGAAACAATTTTGGCCACCCCCTTCCCCCCCGTTTTTTTCTTACCCCACCCCCGGCCCTGCCTCAGCTCCGCCCCTTCCCCAAATCCCCAGCCCTGCCTCCTCCCCCCAGCTCTCAAGCCTGGGAGGGAGGGGGAGCAGCGGCGTGCGAATCAGCTGTTTTGCGCACCGCAGCCACTCGGGATCTCCCCCTCCCTCCCAGGTTTGAGAGCCTGGGAGGGAGGGGGAGCAGCGGCGCGCGTGCCGCGGCCACTCGGAATCTCCCCCTCCATCCCAGGTTTGAGAGCCTGGGAGGGAGGGGGAGGAGCAGCGTGCGTGCCGCGGCCACTCGGAGTCTCCCCCTCCCTCCCAGGTTTGAGAGTCTGGGAGGGAGGGGGAGCAGCGGCGCGCGAATCAGCTGTTTCGCGAGCCGCGGCCGCTCGGGATCTCCCCCTCCCTCCCAGGTTTGAGGGCCTGGGAGGGAGGGCGAGCAGCGGTGCACGAGCGGCAGCAGCGGAGGTGAGCTAGGGCGGCCGGGGCACATTTTTAGGGGCGGCATTCTGGCGCCGGCCATGCCGCCCCTAAAAATGTGCCGCCCCAAGCACCAGCTTGTTTTGCTGGTGCCTAGAGCCGGCCCTGGGCATGCAGTACACTGTGGGAAATGCTGCATTAGGCAGTTGGCAAAATAGCAAAGCAGAGCTGCATATTTACCTGCAATCACTTTAATTTATCTATTTCAGATATGTGCATTGCCACTGCAATTTCTCTCCTTATGATTCTGATCTGTGCGATGGCTACATATGGAGCATATAAGGTAATCGATCAGATTAAACAAAAAAGTTGATCTTCATCCACCTGAATCATTCTGCCTATGAAACTCCTAACAGGCAGAAATTTAAAACCCAGTCTCCTAACATTTTGTAGTTGTTTGTTGTAAGATTTATATAACAATTTCATTTCTTCTGCGAGATTATAGGAAACCCCTATGTTTGTTGAGATCTGATTGTGTCAAGTGATGCCATGCTGATTGGGGGAGTGCAAGACTAAGGCTGTCTCTACACTATGGAACTTACCCTGTTTCCCCGAAAGTAAGACATCCCCCGAAAATAAGACCTACTTCCAGTTTTGCCTCTCGCTGTAATATAAGGCATCCCCCCGAAAATAAGACCTCCCCGATAATAAGGCCCCGAAGCTCCAGGAAAAATAAGACCTCCCCTGAAAATAAGACCTAGCGCATCTTTGGGAGCAAAAATTAATATAAGACACTGTCTTATTTTCGGGGAAACAGGGTACAGTGGCACAGCTGTACCGCTGCAAGGTCTCCCCATGTAGCCGCTCTATGCCAGCAGACAAGCTCTCCTGCTGGCATAATTAAACCACTCCTAACGAGTGGCAGTAGCTATGTTGGCAGGAGAGCGTCTCCCACTGACATAGCACTGGTCATGCCGGTGCTTTTGTTAGTGAACTTTTGTCGGTCAGGGGGTGTGGTTTTTTTTTTTTTTTTTTTTTTTCCCCCACACACACCCCTGACCGACAAAAGTTTTACCAACAAAAGTGCTAGTGTAGACATAGCCTAAGATTGTCTAACTGTATTCATTGTCTGCAGCTTCAAATGTGAGATCTTTTAGTACATTATGGGCAAACTTTAAATACAAATGGCCAAATCTTGGTTTTTATAAAAGTGAATGGAATTTTTTCCCATTCACTTCCCTGGGAGTGGGATTTGTCCCAAAGAATGCATTTATATTAATCCCACTCAAAAGTTTGGTATTTTAGGAAGCCAAGTCAGTACTGTTCGATTTGATTGATTGAAACCTGTTCCTGTATAAATTCTCAGTAGACTCATACACTTTAATTTATCTCAGCTTTGCTGCCCAGCATCTTTGGCTACATATAATAATTTTAACAGATTTAAGTAATTTTCCCCCTGGGAAACACAGTTAAAGAGTATTTCATTGCATTGTGTGAGTTGCACTGTGGATTTTTGAAACATAAGGAAATAATAGTTATGCTTTAACCTGCAACTTTTTTTTTTTATAGCAACATGCAGCCTGGCTCATCCCTTTCTTCTGTTACCAGATCTTTGACTTCGCCCTCAATACACTGGTTGCCATCAGTGTGCTTGTTTATCCAAACACAATTCAAGACTATCTACGACAGCTGGTAAATCACTTGAAGTGAACAGTCATTTTCATGATCTAGAGAAAAAGTTGGAAACACATTTCATCCTCTATTCCAATCCAAGGCTTTTCCACTGACTTCCTGGGCAGCCTTTGGCAAGTCGTGCCCCCTCTCAGCCTTACTTTGTCAATCTGTAAAATGGGATATTTGTTTACAGAACTGCCGCAAGGCATAAGCAGATTAGGGCCCCATGCAGCTCAAGGGGACCCCCTATTCGCTTTTTATTATGTGTTGTGGTGGGGGGGGGGCAGGGGGCAAAATATTCCTTGGTAGGGCCCCAATGGGCTAGCACTGCCTCTGCTCATTTAATTACCTCACAAGAATGTTGGAAGGACTAATGAGTTAAAATATTTGTATACTGTCTTGAAGTTTTACATGGCTATATAAGTGTGAACATGATTAAAAGGCAGGGTTGCCTGCAATAGCAGGGGACTGGATTTGATGACGGAAGCCAGAAGCCAAATAGGGAGATATCTCTGTAAGAGATGTAGAGAGAAGGGGGCGAGAGGAATGAATGGTGTCTGGGTCATTGTTAGGCTGATGCACAATTATCATTCCTCACCCAGAAATTTCTGGAGGGCATGGTGGTTTTGGGCATGCTCAATAGGTTCCCTATAGCTCAGGGGTCAGCAACTTTTCAGAAGTGGGGTGCCGAGTCTTCATGTATTCACTCTGATTTGAGGTTTCGCGTGCTCGTCATACATTTTAACGTTTTTAGAAGGTCTCTTTCTATAAGTCTATAATATATAACTAAACTATTGTTGTATGTAAAGTAAATAGGGTTTTTTAAATGTTTAAGAAGCTTAATTTAAAATTAAATTAAAATGCAGAGTCCCCGGGACCGGTGGCCAGGACCCGGGCAGTGTGAGTGCCACTGAAAATCAGCTCGTGTGCCGCCTTTGGCACACGTGCCATAGGTTGCCTATCCCTGCTATAGCTGGACTCCTAGACTCCAGAGCAGCTGCTTTATAAAAGGACATGTGACCTGCGTGGGTTGGGAGAAGCAAAGCAGGTTGTTTTCTCTAACTTTGAATCATTTTGCAGCTGTTGGTTAACTTTCCAACGCAAAGAAGCACTGGCAGTGTTATAGAAAATTTTCCCTCACAATTTCCTCTAACTTCTTCCATTTTAATTGTATACCTGGAATGTAGTTTGATTTTATCCAAATTGTCTTAGTTAAATTGTTTTCACCGATATAGTTCACCAACTTTTTTTTTAATTAATTAATTAATTTATTTAACTGTGATGATGGGAATAGAGTAATCTATATTTTGCTAGTCTCAGTTTTATATTTTTCTTGTAACAGGGCTTTTCATTTATATACTTAATACTGATTGGTGGGTTAATTAGTTAGCTAACTAGAAAAAACAACGAGGAGTCCTCGTGGCACCTTAGAGACTAACAAATTTATTTGGGCATAAGCTTTCGTGGGCTAGAACCAACTTCATTGGGTGATTCCACAGTCCAGCAGACGAGGAGAAAAAGTCTGCATGGATTCCATTTGGGGATTTCTGCAAGCAAGAGGAGAGAAGATATTGTTGCACTGCTTTTGACTCAGCAGACTGTATAGAGTTGGTGAATAAAGACTAATTTGGGGGGGACTCAATCTAAGCTTTTGGAACTCTGAGTTACTTCTCACTGTGTTTGTGTGGATTAACCCCTTTAGATTTACTGTTTTTGTTTATATTTATGTATAACTGTGAAGACAATGTTTGTGGATGATCAAGTAGCCTGGTTATGTAGTAGAAATTAAGCCTCTATTATTATTTCTTTAGCATTATAAGATCTTATAAAGTTGGTACTTAATTCTTAAAAGTTCATTCCTTTTTGTTCTTGTACAGTCTTTGCTGAAAACCCTCAATTGCTGTATTCTGAGTCACCATGTGCTTTTCTGTAGGAGTTGTGTTTAAGCACTAGGACAGTGGTTCTCAAACTTTTGTACTGGTGACCCCTTTCACATAGCAAGCCTCTGACTGCGCCCCCTCCTGCTAAATTAAAAACACTTTTTTGTATATTTAACACCATTATAAATGCTGGAGGCAAAGCTGGGTTTGGGGTGGAGGCTAACAGCTTGCGACCCCCCCCCCATGTAATAACCTCATGACCCCCTGAGGGGTCCCGACCCCCAGTTTGAGACCCCCTGCTCTAGGAGAAGCGCGGTGAAGTAAGCTCTAGCCACCAAAAGGTTACAGGACTGGAAGGGGCACCTTGTCATTATGTTCCTAAACATCATTAGCATTATTTTATGTTGGAGAAGGAGTATATTGAGAGAAGCAGATGATTAGAGGATTGATACTGGATTCAGAATCATTGGTTGAAATCAGCCCAGTTCAGTTATCATTATTTCATGACTATTTGGTTGCCTGTGTGAACGGACTTGGTGGTTTCAGCCCAGATTCTAGTTGGCAACAGTTTGCATCACAAAAAGCAACTATTCCATTTGGCAACTTCATTGTTAGGTATCTCAGGAGAAAGTCCAGGGGCAGAGGGCTTGTTGTTACAAGAAAATGTTATAGCAAAGTTTAACTGGCTGAACACTATTTGCCCTGATCTATGCAAGACAGCCAGTCAGCCAGCATCAGATGAGCCAATGTGCTTTTCAAACACACTGTTTTCTTGTGAAGACCAGCCTTGAATGGGCTGACCTATCCTCACCCCAAGAGTTGGCCCCTTCCAGGTCAAGGTTGAGACAGAGTTACAGAGCACTGAGTGGAAACTTAGTTTGCATCTGTCTCACAAAGTTTACCTAGAAAAATTGAATTCAAATTGGCTTGGATATGAATTCTGTCATGTAGATGGAAAACTAGCTAGAGAACTGTAAATAAAGAGTAATGAGAAGCAGCAGGCAGAGTAATGATAAACACTAGTGTATCAAGTCAATGAGAGTGGGGTATTGCAGGAATCTTGCTCTCCTAAATATCCTCTGTAGTGATCAGGATGCAGGAGTAAACAGGCCATTCTAAAGAAATTCACAGATTCCCCCCCCCATGGAGATATCCCATCTCCTAGAACTGGAAGGGACCTTGAAAGGTCATCAAGTCCAGCCCCCTGCCTTCACTAGCAGGACCAAGTACTGATTTTGCCCCAGATCCCCAAGTGGCCCCCTCAAGGATTGAACTTACAACCCTGGGTTTAGCAGGCCAATGCTCAAACCACTGAGCTATCCCTCCCCCTTGGGAGTGGAAGTGAAGGCAGAGGAATAAGTCAAAAGACAAATAGATTACAAACGTGGGTGGGAAATAACAAAATAAGATTCAGCTTGGAAAAATTGAAGTCAGTGCATCTATGATAGAGGAAAAAATAATCCAAATCACAGATGCAATGGAGGGGAAGTACCTGGAGAGAGACATAATGATTGAGAAAAAAGACTGTCAAAGAGAGAAAGAAAGAGAACTTCTATCTGTTCTCCCTCTCTTTGATTTAAGAGAGACAAAGCTATTAATTGTGTAGGTTATTTTACAGAAAAATGGATGCCAAAGTGTTACAAACAATGCCTGTACATGCAATATGTTTGTCTTTTAAAATTATGTATCCGGGGATGTGATTTTTGTGGATTGAGAGGGCTTGGCAAACATGGTTAGGAGAAGGGGCATAGAATAGCCTGTTTAATCTGTGTTTTTTATTACAGTGTTGATTTTTGGCTCTCTGAATATTTTCATATCTGTTTTTGTGCATGTCTGGGTGAAATGCAAGGGAACCCCTATGGTCTTGGTGCAGGCTTAGTAGTATTAGAGAATTCTCTTACAGAATTCCTGAAAACTAGCAGGGAACATACTTGTGCTTTTGCTGTTTTCATCACATTTTAGTTACAAAAGGATTTTTGTCTGCATTCCTGGAAATGACACTAATGTTTTAAAAAAAAAATTTTTTTGGAGAGAATCTTCAGACTCCCTCCCCTCCTGAAGCATCTAGTGCTGCTCTTGGAGAAACAATACTGGACTAGATGGAGGATGGATGTTATACAGTGTGGCAATTCCTACCTTTCCTCCACCTCCCAGCCACAAGAACGTCATCTCTCTTGCTTGACTGGCTACAGGTCTGGCTATAGATAAAAATGATAGGATAAAAAAACATAATGCCACATCATTTTTGAATCAAGCAGTCATGCAGTCCAATAGACTACATTCAGTGGCTGTACCTCTGTTTGTATTGCTCTGGTGAATTGAAAGGTGTGGAACCTGCAGGTGCACAGGGCCCACTCTTGTGAGGTTCTTAGGGCTCCAAGTTGCCACTCCCCTCAGATGAGGTTCAAAGTTTGTAGCTGGTTTGTGGGATTCGTTCCTGGCATCCCCCTCTGTGCCATTACCTGTGGACAGTGCTTGCTTTTTAGGTTGCATTCAGTCTGACAAATATTCTGAGCCTGATTCTCATTTATCGTAAGGCCTCTCTCATAACTGTTCTGGCAGCATAAAGGGTGACCTTAATGTGGCAGTGAATTCATGCTCACTTTAATGTCCCTTTACACAGCCAGAGCAGAGAACAGGTACTTTAATATAAATGAGAATTAGATTGTCTGTCATATTCCTGCACAGGGAAGCGGCGCGGGCTGAGGGATGTGCTGGCCACCACTTCCCACCGCCCCCATTGGCCTGGAGCAGCAAACCGCGGCCAGTGGGAGCCGCGATCGGCCGAGCCTGTGGACGCGGCAGGTAAACAAACCGTCCCGGCCCGCCTGAGTGCTTACCCTGGCGAGCTGCGTGCCAAAGGTTGCCGATCCCTGATATATAGACTGCATACAGAGCTTGCTTCTGAGTAAGATACCACATGTGTTCATCCTAAGAACCTTAATCACTGCCAGGTATGACTCAAGTTAGTTTAAATAAGGTATTTTACACATACTGCCACCTAGTGGCTGAACAGTATAATACAGTTTAGCATTGCATCACATCTCCGCTTAAGTTTTACATCCCTACCATTTATGCTTTCATGCTCTTTGTCTGTTAAGTGTCTCGGAATTGTACTAGCTTTCTAATTATATGATT